TTCCGAAACTTGCCGACAATTCAGGTTGGCCAAATTTATGTTGCTCGGCCCAAATTACAATCTTAATTTTGCCCGTAATGATATTGTTACACTGACATTAAAAATTGCAAAAAATATCGATTTTCCGATTTGTATTGATCTAAATAAATCAATATTTTTCATGGTCCCTGACGCGTCATTTTAAATAGGATGATTTATTGTCTTTTACATACTATCCTTTTGTCTTTAAAAATTTTAATATTTTTCTTATACAACGAAAGATATGGGTATGAGTCAATAGAAAATAGACAAATCATTTTTAGTAAAAATTTTTTTAAATTTTTAAATTAAACTAACTCAACAACTATTCAATCAAATTTGTTAAAAAATTTTTTATTTTAATCTTGAACTTATATAGAATTAAAATAAAAATAAAATTTATTAAATTTAATAAGATAGTTGTTAAGATATTTAAGCTTAAAGTCAAGAAAACTTTTATTTAGAAAAAATTTGTCTCTTTACTATTGACTCACCCCTATATGTTTTTTTTTCTTTACTTTACAAATATATTATTGGTAAATAAATTATTTTATTTATTATTATTACTATTTCTTTATCAAGCATTTCGCAAACAGTTTTTAATTTTAAAGGTGAAATTAAAGCTATTCCTATTATTAAATTGCTAAACGAAAAAAAATCCACAAGAGTTGAACGTAAAGTTGATATGAAAGAAGTGTTGATAAAGACTTCCAATAAATTCGAAATCATTTATGGAGAAATTTCTGGTGGTCTAAGCCCTTCTGGACTACTTGCAGAAAATGTTACGAGATAATTTATTACCGATAAAATGTACTGTTCGGGAAAAATGGTACGAAGCCACATGCCAATTTTACTTGTAACAGCACATAACGAATGAAGAACGTAAATAATTGACTATTTTTAAGAAAAATTTAGAAATAAAAAATTATTAAAATGGATTATAATAGATGATCAAGCATTTTTTTTCACTTGGATGGTTACAAACTGGTAAGTTTTCATTTATAAATAATAAAAGAATTTTGATTGTGTAAATATAACTAATTCATATTAAATATTTTTAAATGTAGGTATTTAATTTATATGCGCTCAATTGGATCGGTATGGAATTTATCGATTTGGAAAACTCAATAAGTGCTTCTTTCCAATTGATGAGCGAGACTTCTGCATTCTTGAGAGTACATATGTATTTTATGGGGATTGGAACCACCTAAAATTTCTTTACCGATTTAATCGTTTAATCGTATTAACTGTTACGAAAAATCTTGAAATTACGTAGATTTTGCTAGATTTTTTTTATTATTACTTGTTATTAGTATTGGTGGCTGTGTGGGAAGAACTGAGTTTAAGACCTAAGATCATGGTCTGAGACCACAGATCTTGGTTTGAAACCCTTGATTGATAATACAGTATGTATAAATTCAATGCTTGAACTAATAAAGTACAATACTTCTCTCCGATCGCGTATAATAAATAACATCTTTTTGCTCTCCCATAATAATAAATTCAGTAATAAACTAATACATAACATTCATTTAACTTACCTAAACCCGAATTTATGCTTATGACTCTGAGTTAAATTGGTGCCGATTTAACGATAGCTCTCCCCAGTTTGTAACACCGTTAATTTATCTGGCATTAAGTTAACCCTAACCAATAATCAACATAATTCGGCCTGGAATTCTTAAGCAATTTTTAAAATTGCTTGAGGTATATTATTATCTTTTCATTGTTAGTACAACCTAATTAATTATTAACACAAGAAAAAGTCTCTCAAGATGAAAACCTTAATCAGAAAGATATTACAAAACAATATAAAAAAAACAAAAAAAAATCTGCTTTCAATACTTTCAATTTTTCAATATTATGCAAACGTAAAATTTTATTCTATTTATAGTTCTTATAGTAAAAAAATTTTCAAAAAATTCATTATAGAGTAATTTACTATGTTCTATACTGTATTCTAATAATTTTTTTAAAAAAGTTTGTTATATAGTATGTTTATTATAAGAAGGTTCGTTATATCCAGAGTTGAACTGTATTTATAGATAGTTTATTATATCCGTCTTTTATGTGGTGTTTAAGTCCAATCTGTATAATGAAATAATCTCTCACTAAAATTTAATAGTATATAGGTAAAAATAAAACTAACTTTAATCAGTAATATTATATTTATTTAAAAATATTTGGAGATTTAGGTATTAAGAGCGGTCTTTTAGAACTTTATTTTGAACTGTAATTTTGAACTAGAGCCAGACTATTGATCAAATTCTTAATAAAATCTGGTTTTCTTCAGACCATTTTTTATCCCTAGCTTTAATGGACTACTATAAAACAATGCTGTAAATTATGCATTTAGTTTCGATCCATATATAATTAAGAATAAGGTTAACGCATTATAAAAATACTGTGTAAGAATAGTGTTTCAAGGTTATTTGTAGTGATTTGAACCGATAAAAACTTCCTTAGTCGGGTAACCGAACCGAAATATTTAATGTCAACCGATTGCAACCGATTAAGATTGCTTCACACTTTATCTTCGGAAGTTCTCGGACCTTTACTCAAATATTTATGTTCATTCATTTTCTTTTCAGAAGTTCTCGGACCCTTTGCTCCGTCATTTACATCCTGTCAACCGATTACTGATACCGGTTGTACGGGTCAACCGGTTATCCGAAATTTATTCAATTCGGGTCAGTTAACCGATTATAGCCCAACTGGTTCAAATCACTAATATGTTGTGGTATTTTTTTTTTCACAATGGGGTAATATACTCTCTTCACAAAATATCT